GATTATGAAACAAATAAAATGTCCTCCAGAGTCTGGTAAACGAAATGTTGAAACTTTTTTGAGAAAATGGATTCCAGCTATTGAAACTTACGGTTTAGACTATACCGGAATCGGAGATATCACTGGAACAACAAATAACAATCTCGTCTGCCTTCGCCCGTGCCGAGCACTTCTCGTTCGACCTACTCGAGCCAGACGACGCCGACGTGGAGTTGACGTTCGAGCAGCGCTACGAGCAAGAGTACCTCCACGCGGAGCACGACGGCGCCAGCGCGAAGTCGGCGGCGAGCTGCGCAGACGAGGCCGACTTCCACGTGCGTGAGTTCCTCCGCTTCCTGGCGCTCAAGTCCGTGCGCCCCGACGTGACCCCCTCGGTTGTTGTGGACAACGTCTTCCACCTCGCCCTCACGTACACCGTCGCGTACGCCCACCTCTGCGCGCTGGTCGGCGGCACCTTCATCCACCACGACCCCACCCCCGGCGGCGACGCCGCAAACGCGCGCTACATGCGGCAGTACGAGGACGCGCTCGAGCTCTACGCCCTCGCGTTCGGCGCCCCACCTCCGAGGAGCGTGTGGCCACCCGTCGCGGAGAGGATGGACCCGCAACGAGACTATGTCTCGTTGCCAAGGTCGCGGGTCCAGGAGCTCCGCGCCGCGGCGATGAAGAGCAACATTATAGGGGGGGTATGGTAATAATTAGTTAGCTGACTACCTACTCAAGCAGGTAGACTAGTGAGTAAGAAAAGAAAAGGAGCACAACGTCACTAGGATATGTATCCTTCGACACTCATTTTTAAGTACAATAAGATTCGCTTGCGTGGTGGTGGGGATTGCGAAGATGAAGACGAGGACGACCTGGTTGGATATATTAAGGACATGCCACCCCGTCTTCGGCAAACCTTCCTTAATGATCATCAACCTCGCATTTCAGCACGTGAAGCCGACGAACTTTCTCCAATGATCGACAACGATCGCTATGATCATGAACATTGCGACGAAAATGATTCTCTGCCCGATGAGGCTCTTCAGGCAATTAAAGACGTTGATGCTATGAATTCCAACGCATAATTTCTTCGTTTCATGGATGAAGAAAAACAGCGTGTAATGGAAGCAGAACGTCGCGAAATCGAAGAAACAGAGAAGCGATTGAATGATCTGGGGACTGTTTTGAATTCTGAAGACGACGATGACGAGTCTGCTTTGAACTCCGACGATGAGACTGAGGACATCGAGGGTAAAGCATGGTTTGAAGTTGGAGAGCACTACGTCGATAAAGAGGATATGTGGAGCAAAACTTTTGGAGACTGCAAACACTGTTGCTCTGAAAAGGAGTATCTGGAGCAGACACAAAACGAGGACGACAAAAATCATCTGCTCCGTTTGCGTGGTGGTGGTGACAACGAAGATGACGAGGATTTGCCTTCATACTCCGACTCCGACGAGGACGATTTGATTTGCCCACGTTGCGGTAAAATCGCAAACGTTCCCAACAGAATGGGTCAATTGTGCCCTTCGTCTCAAGATTGTGGACAGATGATTTGTCGTGCTTGTCTTGACGACATGACCCATTCTAGAGAGATGTTCTGTCCCCCATGTTGGCAACGCAACTTAGATCTAGACTTCAGACCATCATCTTATGAGGAGTATTGCCGTGAGGGTGAATCGCTCGCAGAACAA